CAGTAGAACTACCAATTGCATTTTTCATCACCATTTTTCGATAGCCCACCAGACTTCCTAACGGGAGTTATGATGCAATTCTTCTTAAGCGGTACAAAATCAGTGTTTCTTGTACAGTACCATGACTCTTGGTTTTTTGGTCTTTTACTATTTGAGTGGGATCTGAGCATCCAAGCACATACGGGGTATTTGCTTACCGTTGTAGCTCTACAAATCTAATACTACATACGCAGACGCCGGGCACGGAAGCCCACGGAATCCAAGACCGGACTCCTGCTACAGACTTAGCGACCCTGCCTGCTCCTGACCGCCGTCTCTGAAGGTAGAACGTTGCCCTATGAGACAAATGATAACTTCCTGTGACCATACTGCTTGTTGCGGAAGCTCTAGAACCTAGCACACCGCGTTCTTCACTTGTTTCGCATATAAACAGATCGGCAGCCATATGCATATAGCGGAGCCACCGCTCCTGCCCGGTACCTGGGGCAGTCCCTGTAGCTGGATTGTCGCCCTTGAGGTTCTCATTAAACTTCTTGTGATACATTGCTTGTCAGCGAATCTCTAGAAAGTGGCATATTGTAATCACTATTTGTTCTTCACATCAGCATGTCAACACCGACTACGGCTATGCAAAATAAAGAAATAAATAAAATGTTTGTTCTCAACTAAGCGAGGCACACCCGCACAGACATGATCATGTTACGACTACAAAATGTGGTCAGTTAATGCACAATGGAACAATGGGATTGTCGCATAAGTTAATATATGAATGTATGTAAGTGTGCATGTGGGTGCGTTTCGCTGTGTTTGTGGAATTTGTAACTGCTTTTTGACCATTTGCTCATGCTTGAAGGTGGACTTGCAGCGTTTGTCCGGATAAGCAGTTAGTGATTTAGGTTGGTGGCGGGTCACAAACGCCACGTCACTGTTATTTCTCAGACCTTGGTGGCTTTCTATATGGTGTAGCTTGCCAGTCGAAAACCCACTACCTCCAAGAACATTGTAGCCGGACTATTTGCTGGAACGAGGTAAACATGAATCATCCAGCTGACACCACGAAGAGATTGTTCGGCCAGCCTGCCAAACCGTCATCAGATGTCTTTGCACAGATGTGATAATGAATCGCCATGGTTGTGCTAATGTGTGTCGATGATTAACGTTCAGCAAGCACTTCAAGTGATTGTTTGTTTGCTACAATGTTTGCCTGCATCGAAGCAAGCTAACTATAAAAGGCGTTGAGGACAGCTGTTGTCAACAGGGGGATAAATCATCGGGTCCGAGCATGAACGTACGGTTGTCCCTAAGGTTATAAGGTCGCTACACTTCGGTTGGCTGGTCATTGGGGCTTCTACAGTGAAGTTTACGGACGGACGCCATATGCGCACAACCAACCAACCGGCGAAAAGTGAAAAGACAGGTAACATAGGATTGTATACACTTATTACCAAAACCTACAGGCTCGCTACGCTAACGAAAGGACACTCAACAAAACTAACTAACAAGAAGCATGAAGAGACATTCCGGTAGCCTAGGTGAGTAAATTCGTCGGCAGAACACCGGAAGTGTGTGTATATAAACAAATGTGGTCAGCACTCGACAGACACACTGCTTCATTTCTTTGAGTAAAAATGAAACTAAACTCTGGTACTATTTTACTCATCATATAGGTAAAGCTATGGTTACTACAGTTCCTCGCTTTTTATCCACGTTTGTTTTAGTGTGGTCTCTTACACCGTGGTTGTGATATGAGCATCCATCCACTAGGTGGTATTGTTTTCCATGACAGATGCTCAAGTCCATAGAGAAGTAGGTACGCACTAGACACGCAAGATTTTGGATGCATCTACCACATGCTTACTGGACCCACAAGAGGCCCAACCTGCCATCTGACCGCCCATCTGCTCGCCGCCGAGGAGGAGTTGCCTTGTACATCAGATGTGGTGTAAACCTACCAAAAACAAATACCTATAACTCAGCTGAAGGGTTGAACCTCTTACCGTTGAAGTGTGTATCGAGTAAACGCAATTTACTATTTTGCTGCTGTGTACGAGCCTTGATAGAGCTTCTGGGTGTTTCATTGACTTCACCCGCACTCAATCTGCGAACAGATGCTTGATAATGGGGACTACAACTTACCTGACGTAAATTGGCATGACGTAACTTAGGAGGCAGCGAACACAGGAGTAGCTGCCAGGCTTGTTGACTTGACTCTGGAAGTACCCGTACACCAATTTGTCGATCGACCCTCCAGGTACATGGTGCGTCATTCTCCTTCTCTCTTGAACCTAGTTTTAGTAAAATCGGTTGCCTTTGTGAGCGACCTTTAGGACGGTCTCTCTTTTGGAGCCAGTGCCCATGCGTGATTGTCATTCACCCGTGCTCACATTAGGGACTACGATTCACGCAGGGTCCGGACTCCGAACATTTAGCACGCCCACTTTCAACCTATTAGAGCCAAAACAGTAAGTTTCCCATGGATTATCTTGCCGGATGATGATATACCGACGGCTTGAGATACGTTTACGTCTTTCTTAGTTAATATATACCATCCCACCTCCCTTTTCGGTGAAGTTAAGCAAAGCGAAGCCACCATGGTTGGACTCAGTCGCACACCAGCTAATGAATGGACGAGCGAGATGCTGGCGGCTCTAGCAAATAGTTCTGTCACAATGTATTTTCGGCGTCATTGTGAAGCCCGGAATGCTTGCAAGGGTCATTTACGAGCTGCTAGACTTAGCTATGAAATGGAGCTCGCTAACTCAGCCTCCGCGAATCCCAAGAGTTTCTTCATTTACGTCAACTGGTGTAATGACATTGGCGCATCTATCCCAGTGTTATTACGCAGCGACGGCGCCACTGCCACCACTGATCACGAAAAAGCATGTCTACTCAGTGCGCAGTATGCCGGAACTTTTGTTCTGGATGAGCAATTGCCGCATCTTGACCTAGCAATGAGAGTCCCCCCAGGACTCCTGTTTAACACACGTCACAATTTCGGAGGCTACAGTTCTCCATCTTCTTCAGGCTCTAAATCCTGCTAAATCCGCTGGGATGGATGATATTCACCCTAAGCTTCTGTACGAACTCGCAAGCGAGCTATGTGGCCCAGTGACGCGTTTGTTTCAATTGTCGCTTCGCAGCTGCTCCTTTCCTAAGGACTGGAAGGATGCTATCGTTTGCCCGATTTTTAAAAAGGGCGACAAGCATCTCGCTGCCAATTATAGACCAGTAAGTTTGACAAGCGTACTGGCCAAGGTATTGGAGAAGTAGGTTAGAGAGATGCCTGATGGCCATCTGCGGGAGTATGGTCTGCTCAGTTCACTGCAACACGGCTTTCGCAAGGGTCATTCCTGTATGGCTAATTTGCTAGTTGTACGCGAATGTTGGGCGGATGATTTGGATCGGGGTCATGCGGTAGCTGTAGTGGTTATTGACTTCGCCAAGGCCTTCGACACTGTATCACATTCTCGCCTTTCCTTGAAACTTCGGTCCTATGGAATATCCGGGGGTGTACTAAAATGGATCACCACGGTTCTGGAAGGAAAAGAGATGTGTGTTCGTATCGGGTCTAGTCTGTCTTTCCGACAGTCAGTCCTCAGTGGGGTCCCTCAATGTTCGGTGCTTGGCCCGTTGTTATTTTCCTTGTATGTCAACGAGCTTCCCGAACTACTGGAGGTACCATCTCTCATGTTTGCAGACGACCTAAAGCTTTGGCACATAGTGTCTGACTTCCATGGACCCCAGACTCTGCAACGGGCACTCGAAAAGCTTTATGACTGGGCTCCTCTGTGGCAATTGCCCATAAATTAGGCAAAGTGTTCCATCTTACGAATAAAGCCAAATATCCCCCAAACGCGTTATTTGCTTGGCGGTAATGAATTACACCATGTTACCCAATTGGTAGACCTAGGGGTCACTTAGTCTTCAGAACTTAAATTCGGTGAGAACTGGGGGAAAGCTACGTGCAAGGGTTTTAGAATGTCGTGGATGACGCGCAGAACATCCTGGACCATCACGGGCGCTATATTTGTTAGGTTATATTCAGCATTTGTCAGGCCGCACTCGGGATACTGCATCCAGGCTTGACAACCTTGCTTAGTCAGGGACAGAATGTCAGCGGAGAGTGTTGAGATTTGGGACCAAACTGGTCCATGGACTGCGGAACCCTTCTTACCCAGAAAGACTACTTGCGCTCGGAATGTACTCAGTGCACTATCGTCAACATCGTGGCGACCTAGTCTTGACCCATCGCATACTTACCGGTAAAATCGGACCCGATTTATCCGGGCTTTTCCAACCGGCTCGGCTTAAATCGCTCCGAGGTCACTCGCTGAAGCTACACAAACCTCGATCGGATGGAGTCCGGGCGGACTTTCGTTTATCACGCCGAGTGGTGGATTCCTGGAATGCACCGCCCGAGAACGTGGCATTAGTACCAACGGTGTAAGAGTTCGAACACCGACTCGATGCTCTTGGTCTTCAATTCTTAACATTTCGCGTCCTAGCTTATTCGTCTTATTTATTTATTAAATCTATTACTTTTTTATTGACGCTCTTATTACTTCGTACATTCTTATTTCACGTGTCCGTTGCGGCGTGGACTGCCAGTGCAAATCGCGTGGGTATTAATTGCTTGACCGTGGTGTGATTCGCGCTTGCTGGGCTGACTCTTCTGGATTCCAGTTATCGCGGACAAATAATACCCTGGATCAACGACGAGTCACGGAAGGAACATTCACTGGAATTTATCCTACTGTCCTCGTCCCACTTGAACTTGAACAAACTGTGACCTTGCCACAAGTAGTTATGTTGTATTAATGATTCTTGCAGACAGTTTAAGACGTTTATTTCAGTGTTGTAAATTATAATTATTTTTTAGATAAACCATGGATTTGTTAAGTTGCCTAGCTGGTTGTATCTAGTGTGAAGGTTTCGCGCTCATTTGGAATGTAATTCTTTGCAGGTTTTTTCATTTGTCATCTGGTCTTCCATTGTGAATTATGTCGGAATTACATTTCGCGATCCTGTCTGTAAATGGAATGACTTGCCAGTCGTGCGTGAAGCTAATTGACAGTGTACTGAGAAGCAAAGCCAATGTTATTGAAGTACAGGTGCGTCTTCATGTCTGTTGTGTAAGCAATTTAACCCTCACAGTAACGCATAGTTTTAGAAATCACACTAATTTATTTTTCAGTCATTTTTGTTAAGGTATTTCGTCCTCAGGTTTTTTAATGTCATTCTGCAAGGTTTACCCAATATTCTCCATATCTTCTCTGCGCATAAATTTTTTAGGAAGATGTATTTTAGATATAAGCTTTACGCATAATTACCGACTTAATTATACTTTAAGCCATTTATTTGTTTAATGCACCCCTTTTATCCAAACCGAACAACCTCGTGGTGCCAGCTGGGTGGTACGGGTTTACTCCCTTCTAGCAATTAGTCCGTCGACAGTGTTCCAAGACGTGGTGGGTTTCCGCCTAGCAAGCGTTATCCCTATAAAATATCAATGTCTTTAACAACACGGAGGTGGCGGATGTGACTCGTCAATTGCTTAAGTCACCGCTGCTTTCCTTTCCGGAGGACCTTGCATCATCATCATGATTATGCATCTTAGCTAAAGGTGAAAAACACCTCAGCTACTGTGCCGCAATACATAAGAAGCGAAAAGAAACCTAAAAAAGGTAACCGTCAGCTGAATTACTAGGATGGGCATCGTTCCGGCAAACTATCAGCCATCTGCTATGCAGCCAGTAAAATATTATTAAACAAAATTTGTATTATGCTGTAAATGAGTTCGCGATTGGTTGGGGACACTAAGATAGATGGGGAGCGACAAAGACACTCACAACAAGTACGCCATTGAGGTCGGCTCCTAGCCATCTCAGCAACTTTATCCAGCCAATCGTGCTCATAAATATAAGTTAATAAGTAAAGAGTATACTCCTCTACGGTGCGAGGCACAGTCCACCTGATTGATTTGGTCATTATTTATAACTGAATCGCATGGACGGATAGTACTACTTCGTTCTTTCTTCCAGAGCGGTTCCCAAACTATTTTGTGAAGCTGATTAATCGGTTGCATCTCTCAAATAGTTGGATTGGTTGATAATAATGATAAATGCGGATAACACTAAGTGTTCTAGTAAAGTAATACGACCAACCGTTCATCCTATTTCGAACACCAACCAGAGGGCCGCGAGACTCCAACCAAGGCCAACGTCGAAGTAAGGACCTTCCTTGCTCTCGACCAAGTCGTCGCTTGGCCACGCCTCCTCCATCCACAACCCATTCGAGTAAACAACGCACGATGTGGGAGTCGGCTTGGTATGCGCAACACGTGGCCTAGCCATCGGAGTCTGTTTCATGCATTAACGGTGTTTAGCGGTTCGTTTCCTCTTTCTCTGCCATAAACAAGGCGTCGAACCCGCTCGATGCTCACGCGGTGTTCCCACCAGATGGGAACCAAACTGCGAAGGCACTAGTGGTCGCACCCAACTAGCCTTCTTATGTCTGCTGATCTAATGGGCCAGGTTTCAAGCCGTAAAGGAGAGTTGAACAGACAGCTGCATTGTACACTCTACCCTTCAGAGAGAGAGAGAGAGAGAGAGATGTCTCGCCGGCGCCATTGACAGCGAAGATTAGCAAAAGGCCTCGTGCTTTTGCTATGCGGTTCGTGATCTCGTCTTCGATCCCAAAGGCGCTGATACAACTTCCCAGGTAGCTGAATTTTTGAGCGACTTCCAGCTGATCCCCATTAATGAATAGCGCAAGAGCCAGTCTCTGCCAGTCTTGGATGAAAGCTTTGCACTTTGAAAGTGCAAAGCAAAGCCCGAAACGGCTGACAACCAGTATTAATCTCTTCATTGCCGCTTGGCACGGTTGGCAGCTGTAACAGATTAAGGCAATATCGTCAGCACATTCCACGTCAAGAAGTCGTTCGCCTAGGAGCACCACATCTTCTAGGTCGTGTCCTGTGGACGCGATCTCCATGATTTCGTCAGTGGCGAGGTTGAGGAGGCAAGGTGACAGCGGGCATCATTGTATCGTACCACTGGAGATCTCAAAGGGCAGCGACAGCTTGCTGTAAGCCTTCACTGTCCGAGCTACTTGCATATAACGCTCCGGTAATTTTTAACTGTTTCTCGGGCACACCTTTGCTGAGTGGACAGTGTCAAAGAGCACATCCATCAACTGAATCCAAGGCACCCTTGATATTGAGGAACGCGACAACGGTGGGCCGCCAATCTTTTTGACGATGGTCCAACTACGGGCGCAAAGTGAAGTTGTGGTCAATGCAGCCTCGACTTCGACGAAACGCCGCTTGCTCTTCCCGAATCTGGCTTTCACGAGTGCCAGTCAGTCTGTGAGGGATGACAATGGCAAGTATTTTGAAGGCGATAGAGATCAAGGTGATTACTCTGGGATTGCCGCATTCCAAGCGTGAGCTTCCCTTGAAAATTGGGACTATAATGTAGTGGTTCCAGTTTCACTAGTAACTCGTGTAAATCATCCAAAAGAGCAGATCCTCCGAATTTGAAGTGGGTTAGAGGAAGTTCATCTGGTCCCGCTGCTTTGTTCAACCTCAACCTTCCAATCTCACGCGAGAGGACGGATCCAAAGGGACAGCCCACGGAGCAGGGCGATCAGTGACCGGCGAGCCATCTGACAATTCCGACCCATTAAATTGCCTTTCAAACTATTTAGCCTAACGCTCCAAGCGTTTTGACAAGTTGTGAATAGGCTGTCCACTCTCGTCACGTATAGTTGCACTAACACCAGGTCTCCTGCTGCCCGATTCCCGTATCAGACGGAGTAACTTTCGATTTTTTACCAAGGGCATCGGCTTATTCCATCTCTGACGCACGATGAGACCATCAAGCTTCGTGGTCTCTCTTCAGGCTAGCACGGAGTTTTGCCTGGAGGGTTTTGTGAGTTTCACTGTGTTCGCTTCCAGCCAGAATGTGCCGGTGAGCATCTTTAGATTCCGGAGACTGTGAAGAGACTCAATGTTAATGTTGGCGATTAGACTTACCACATGAGGATTTTCCAGCCGCTGGTAAGGTCTGGTAAATATGCCACCAGTGACCTTCAGTTGTTTTTACTGAGCACTTACTCAACTCGCAAATCAGTGTGCTTCGCTATGCATTCAGAACAGCTGGCTTCGCCATTTGGTTAGTGTCTATATGCTCCTAGGATCGTCCTGGGCCTCCGCCAAAACACACCCCGCAGATCCGTACATGCAAGTGCATGGTCAGTGTTCACTCATATGCTCCAAATCGAGCGACAATTCTGGACATAGCCCGTTCAGCGGAAACTGATCGCAATATGGTTGATTTGCGTCCAAGACTTGTCTAAGGCTAGTGGGCACCCTGTCACTCTCCGGCGGGTGCTGTATCAGAAGTTAGTGCTCGCAAGAAATAAGCGCGCATCTTCACACAAATGGAGTAACCGCTCACCGTTTTCATTACGAAAGCCTACACTGTGTTGGCTTCCAAGGTGTAGCCGATAATTTTCCAACGAGCGTTTAGATCTCCAGCCAACACTACAGCATCCGTACTTCTTCTGTGGCGAAGGAGCTCGTTTACTTGGCGATAGTCGTCTTTTACCGAACCATCACTGCGTTTTTGTGGGCGCGTAAGCAGCGATGACGAATAGACACCTATTAGTCTCACGCGACTTCAAAGCTTTGAACGAGCCAGCCAATCGGACCGCACACATCCGCGTACTGATAGGGATCCAATCAGCCTGAGCATCTCCATCCCGGGGACTCGGCAATGCAAATACCGGTTTGGCCGGTACTCGAAGCGGCATCGTCTCTGGATAAGCACAATGAGAAAGCACTGCTGGTGTCACTTGGAAGGGATCGCAAAGCGAGCGCAGAACTTGAGTCTTGCAGGCGGGTTTCCGGTAGGCAGCGGATGTCGATCGAGAGGGTCTCTAATGTTCGGGCAAGTGCTGCTTGTTGACCGATCTGTAATAATGTGGATACATTGAGACATACCAATCTGAAGGAGGATCAAGGGCTCCAAATGGAAGCCAATGGATTGGGCTTAAGCGCTTGGTTGGACATGGGCTTGTCGACAAGGCAGGAGTGACACTTTGCGTTTACATGTGAGTTGAGACTAGAAGCTGAACTTCTATCGAAGCAAGGTAAGGAGGGTCAAAAATGAGGGTTCAAAACGAGGGAGGGGGGCAAAAGTAACGTTTGAACGGGTCGATAAGAGTGAAAAGGCCTGCGAGGGGGAATACGAAGATGGGATGGCTTGGGCAGTAGCACCCAAACCCATATCTATCCTGCTCCACACAGCAGATAGGGCATCCTTAGTTATCCTCTGCGACGACCAGAGCGTCAAGAAATTGTTTAAGGGGAGGTTTACGGACTTCATCCACTTCAAAGAGTTCCTACGTTTGCGAACCCATGGGACAAAATCACAACTTCAGAGTCACAGCAACCAATCAACTGAACATGGCTACTTGCACATTAACTTACGTATATACAAGCACATAAATCCAGTATGTTACTGGTTAACTTGTAACATGTTTGTTTAATTACAGATCCTGCATGTTTTTATTACCATGATCATGTCTTTTCAGGCGTGCCTCGCACTGACGAATGTAAACCACTTATTTGTTGTTGGTTTGAACACTGCTCCTTATAAGCCCCGGGAGCTGCTTCCCCTGTCCGCACAGATGGACGGCCAACCGTCTCATTTTGACGTGTATTTCGTCACTCGCAGGGTCAAAACCTAAATATGAAAATAAATGCCGTGCCATATCCAGTTGTTTTTAAATATGATTATATATCTTTAACATCGCTTTCTTTGCATAAAGGTTTTACTTACAGTAAAATCGTAATTTCATTCAGCGCGACTGATCGTTTGAGCACCCTGAGTGACCAATTTTTGGGCTCCTGGCCGTCCAAATTGGACACATTTGGGACGAATTTCGGTCGCTGAAACATTTCGGTCTAGCCTAACGGCTATAGTATTGCGTAATCACAATTTAGGAATCAATTTCCGCTTAATGTTGACGGAATTTGCAACCCGGAATGATATATTCACTACATATGGTAAGGGTACGTTATAAAGAGCATTATGAGTAACCAAGT